TCACCATCTGCGCCAATGACCTGTGGACCTGCCATTCCAGCTCTCCTCTTTCTAGAACCTACAGTCTGGCATTCGCTCTTTTGGTCTCTTGCCGGCACTTCCGGGCGTCCATATCTTCCTAGATCCTGATTTCGGTTTAATACCGCTTTAGCTTTTGGGGCGATCCTAACAGGGCAGCTCAGGTGCCATGACTCATGATTTCTGCTGCAATTGCAGCACCTTGTCTCTTGTCTTTCTTCACATTCTCTGGTGTTGTGTGCCTTTGCACATTGACCGCACTTGGCTTCAGCGATGCAAACCTTAGCAATGTGTCCACACCTCTGGCAGTCGAAGCATTGCATAGTATGAAAACCGGATCTGAAGATCTCTGTAGATTTTATCTCGTAGCGCCACTTTATTCCTTTTGCGACCGCTTTGTCTGCAGATTTGCCTCCTCAAACCACAGGATCAAAGATCCTGATGATTTTGCTCCTTTAGAATATTTTTTCAGCCATGTGGCTCTTGGTAACTTTATGCCCTGGAGATAAATGGCATTTTCTTGTTGAAGCAGCTTCAGATGTTCAATATTCTGTGGCTCAAATGAGAGCGGCATATCGTGTAACAAGACTTGGTACATAGGGCTGTCTACTTGTGCTGTGGCTGCAAGCTTGGTTGTCCATTCCTTTTATCTTTCAATCTTTTCCTTCGATTCTTGACCTGCAAAGTATACTTATACTTGTCAGTTAGATATCTGTCTCGCTGCAATAGCCTCATTTATGCCTATTTTCTTTACCAGCTCTTTGCTCCAGAGTCTGGGTATCTCCTTCGATTCTTCATCATCTTGAATTCTTATTGTGGTACTCCCGACTTCAGGTTTACCAGCAATTTTTTCCCAGAAGTGTCCTTGTGTAGGAGTTGGGGCTTTGCTCTGAGAGATTGACGCTTTAATTATTTGAGTTTCCTGCAATATCTTAGCTATAGATGGGTTATCGTTGCTGTTAGTGGTTTCGAAGTGGAATTTCGCGTTAATGAGGCCCTCAATTATTACAATCGCGTCTAATACTAATTTCTTGTATGCTCTGCTTGAGAGCTTATCTCCTTCAACTACTTTCTTGAACCTTTTTAAGGCTGTATCAGTGTCTTGGAGCGTTTTTGACGCGTCGTTTCCAGCTTTCGGGGACGTTTGGGATTTTCCACTGTGAGAATCCTGCTTATGATTACTCTCCATTGCTGATAGAACTAGGATGCAGTTTGACGGTTTTAAAATCGATGGGGGTCAATATTAAATACTATTAATTCACATTGAGAAGAGAGTTCGATATCCTGTACAACTATCAAAAATTCTTATCCGAAATTTTTCACTTGTTCTTCGAGATATTTCTTCCTAGAAATTCTTGACAATTTCTAACAGACTGCTAGCCATAATTCGAATCTCCACACCTTTCGAGGTTTTATCTATCATCTTCATCCTCTGAATCATCTGGTAAACTTGCCCTGGTTTCTCTCATGCCCACCCCAGAGAAATGGCACTTATATGTGTGCGCCACGATCTGTTTCCTCCAATGGCTGTAAATATCGACGTGGGTATGTATTTGGTGGCCAACTAAGGCAAGTGAGAGTCAGTGAGAGAAATGGTCATTGAAATGAGGATATATCAACTCGTACTTGTAAACATGGTTATTTTTGCTAAAAATTAATGTTGTTTGAAGTGAGAGAATGACTTTGTGGTATATTTTGAATCATTACCCCGTGGGCCAACTTGTTCGGTATTGTGGAGTTTATCTGAACTTGGCTCTGGGAGAATATTTCACAACCAGGTTCGTAGAGGACACTGTGGACAGGTGTTCTGTCTCTATCCTCCGTCTCAAGGTCTCGCCCGGCGCGGGCCGCATGCGTTACAGTTTGACCGTTGTGTGAGCTTAGGTGGATGCCCAAGCGTAATACTTTTTTCTTGCATCAGATTTTAATTGCGTATGCAGCCATCTAGCTATGAAACAATATCAAAGAAAAGTACAGAATAGATGATTCAATTTACAGGAGAAGCACTCATGTCTCGGTTTTCATTTGCAAGTACCACTGCGAAGTTATGGCGGCTTTTTCTTCACCCCAAGTCAACCCTCATCCGTGAATACCCACCCAGGGGAACATCTCAAAAACCCTGAGTTATCCAGACATACCTCCATCACCTATTTACTTTTCTCCGCGCGAAATGTGGTCTTAGGTGTCTCCTTCCCAAGTGGAGTAGGTGCCCAGGCTACTCAAACTATACCAGAGAACACCACCAGCAAGCGGATCACAACACCTTCCATCGTTGGCTTGTGTTTATAGTGTCAGCTGCACTCGAGCAAGCGAAGTCTTGGCGCGCACAAAGCTCAATTCGTAATACTCCTTGCCAAACCTACGAATTTGACGCCAATCGAGGTTATATCTTTTCACGGCATCATCTTTTGAACTTGTCCAGATCATATCATGCCAGTCCCAAAGAAATGGCACTCACGCTTGTGCGCCACGATCTATTTCCTCCAATGGCTGTAAATACCGACGTGGGTATGTATTTGGTGGCCAACTAAGGCAAGTGAGAGTCAGTGAGAGATATGGTCATTGAAATGAAAATCTATCAACTCGTACTTGGAAATATGGTTATATTTTGGTAGAAATTGATATCGTTGGGAGTAAAAAAGTGACGTGGTGAGAATTTGATTACCTCGTAGGCTAACTTGTTCGGTATTGCGGAGTTTGACTGAACTTGGCTTTGGGAGAATGTTTCACTGCCAGATTCGTAGAGGACACCGCATACAAGTGTTCAGTCTTGCCCTTCGTGTAATACTTAGTTTGTTTGGGATAATACTGCACGGAAAGGGAAAGATGGAACTGGACGAATCGTTAATCCTATTCAGGAGAATGGACCACTATTACAACTAAGTGGAACTCATACATACGTGGCTCGGTAGGGAGTATGATAACTGGAGGAAAGTCATCAATTAGTAGATTTATGAGGTAGATCAATGGAGGGCAAGACTGAACACCTGTACGCGGTGCTCTCTACGAACCTGGGAGTGAAATATTCTCCCAGAGCCAAGTTCAGTCAAATGTCGCGATATCAAAGAAGTTGGCCCACGAGGCAAAAATTCAAATTACTACACCATGTCAATCTTTCACTCCCAAAGAGTCCGATTCTCAACTAAGCTTCATCAAGTCTACAAGTACGACCTAGTACATCCTCGTTTCAATGACCACACCTCTCGTCGACTTTCTCTGGCCTCAGCCGGTCACCAAATACACGCCCACGCCGATATTTATACCCGACGGAGGAAGCAAAGCGTGGAGCACAATTTTGGGAGATAGCTCTTTGGGACGGACGTGAGAGGGATCAGGACAAGTTTACAAGATGATGCAGAAGAGGGATACATTCTCGACGGGCGTGAAATTTCGAATTTTGGAAAGAGTTTTACGAATTGAGCTTTGTGCGCGCCAAGACTTCGCTTGCGAGAGTGCAGCTGACACTATAAACACAAGCCAACGATGGAAGGTGTTGTGGTCCGCCTCCTGGTGGTGTTCTCTGGTATGGTTTGAGTAGCATGGGCACCTACTCCACTTAGGAAGGAGACATCTCAGATTACATTTCGCGCGGAGAAAAGTTGATGGATGACAGAGGCATGTCTGGATAACTCAGGGTTTTTGAGACGTTCCCCTGGGTGGGTATTCACGGATGAGGGTTGACTTGGGGTGAAGAAAAAGCCACCATAACTTCGCAGTGGTATTTGCAAATGAAATCTGAGGCATGAGTGCTCCTATTGTAAACTGAGTCATCTTTTCTGTACTTTTCTTTGATATTGTGTCATAGCTAGATAGCTGCATACGCAATTAAAATCTGATGCAAAAAAAAAAAAAAAAAAAAAAAAGAGGTAGATCAATTGTTGAAAGTTTCTGTTAGTTGTAGCTAGAGTTCTCTTCCCTCCTCATGTAGTTTAATAATCGAAATAATCATCATTAACTCGATTTCCGTCACAGAAGTTTTTCCATGATTTTTCCCGTGCACGCAGTTTGTGTTTCTGCTATTTATTTTACGGGTAGAAGGTTCCGTAGAGGAAACGGCTAACTTTGTGAGTGAAGAGTGAGCAGAGTGATATCTCTCTTGGGTATTGTGTCAGAGATTGTTCTTGAAACAAAACATGATATGAGCACTGTTAAAGATGTGGTCCCGGTCAGAATGGAGCTCAATCTGCTTAGTAGCCATAAGATTAGCTAAAACAATATAAGAAAACCAATCAAACCAGATGAGGTTTCTAATAGATTACAGTTTTGAGATGCACGGATGTGACATGAGATTGATCTTTGAGTCCCCTGTTCCAAGTTAATGGGACATGGCTAACATGGTCCAAGGGAGTAAGAGATCTGATCAACAAGTCAAGCTAGAGCTATCGATCAAGAATCCGCGGATAGCTTTAAAAAGGCATCATGAGATATCATTTGGGGTATTAAATGCTTGTGTTTCATAGTGGATCATTTGTTGTAAGACCTTCCGGGACTGTGAGAAGGGACAGTTTCCGGATCAGTGATCGGTTTTGTCCTGGAAGTTACTGATCGGTGAGATATGTTGCGTCCTGAGGAAGTACTGAGGCGACAAGGAATTGTACAAGCAAACAAGTGACAAGTTTCTGAATCTATGCATGCCAACAGCTTAGTCACTCTTTCCAGGGAGAAAAATCCTCTGTAATGCCTATGCCGTTTTTCTCGTGTTGTGTTTTCTGCATCATGCGCAAAGATGCTCTTGTAACGTAGTGCGGGTCTTTCAAATGAATTTGTACAACTTATCACTGCCTAGTTTCTGTTCTTTCATGAGTTGGTTCGGGAAGATCATTGGGATTGCACGATTTCTTCGATTTTGCAATTTGACTTTAATATCCTGTCCAGTACCTTGGACTACATGTCAGGTTGAGACCAGGGGGGTGACCAGGGCAGAAAACCGTTAAATTTAATGTTGACCCAGATTTCGACCCCAAGTCATACAGCAGCACAAAATGGATATCGCTCTGGAGATATGCGATACTTATATTTTTGACCACATGTACGCCAAACTTCTTCCATTAAAGTATATACACCGATATGGAACGAACAATTCCACGCTGGAATCAATAGAGTCTGTCCCGCGGTGGAAATTCCGACCCGCCAGTTCTCTTGTAACACTCACACCTAGAGACGCGGCATTCTCAAGTCTATGGAATCGGGATAATATCTACAGACAAGCCATATCTCTATTCATCATAACCTGGTAATTCTACTATTATTTCCAATGTTAAATTTTCTAACTAGCTGATCAGGATTGCTGGTGCCGCGGTGTACTTCATCTTCTCCTCGCTCTCCTATGTTTTTGTATTCGATAAGACAACTTACAAGCACCCTAAATTTCTCAAGAATCAAGTCCGCATGGAGATTTCTCAAGCCGTACGGTCAATGCCCATAATATCTATTCTCACCACACCTTTCTTCCTGGCTGAAGTTCGTGGCTATTCTCGACTATATGATTCACTCTCTGACGAACCAATACCATATTACAATTGGATTCAATTTCCCCTCTTCCTTTTCTTTACAGATTTTTGTATTTATTGGATTCATCGAGGCCTACATCATCCATTAATCTATAAAAAAATTCACAAACCGCATCACAAGTGGATTATGCCATCCCCTTATGCATCAGTTGCATTCCATCCACTTGATGGCTGGGCCCAATCTCTCCCTTATCACATTTTCCCGTTCATCTTTCCGTTACAAAAGTTTGCATACTTATGCTTGTTCTTCTTTGTCCAAATTTGGACGGTTTTAATTCATGACGGAGAATATGTCTCAAATTCTCCAATTTTAAACGGTGCAGCTTGTCATACAATGCACCACTTGTACTTCAATTACAACTATGGACAGTACACGACACTCTGGGATCGAATAGGAGGCAGCTATCGCAAGCCCAATAGCGAGTTATTTAAAGCAGAGAGTAAGATGGCTCAAAAAGAGTGGGAGAAACAGGTTAAAGAGATGGAGCATGTCATAAGAGAAATTGAGGGTGAGGACCATGAGATCTATCACGTTGAGGATAGAAAGAAAATATAGTCTCACTTGATCAACGTCTGAGCTAGCCATTATAAAATTCAGTTGAGACCCTTCTTATGACACATTGGCCTAAAGCATATTTTATTCCGAATTAGATCTAAATTTTCCCTATTGAATCTCGCTTCTAATCCATTACATTGCACCGAACACAGTTGGCACAGCATAGAACGGAATAAAAGTTTATCTATTCAATCTTCAACGTTACATCTGGCATATTCCATACATGCACACGGCCTCACAAAATTTTCAACTTTTTATCAGACCCCTAACTTTCAGGACTTAATTAGCAATTTTGACGTAATACCCGTTAAGTCTGAGCGCACATTCTCTGTACATTGAAGATCTCATGCCAAAAACTTCCCAAAGCGTCCTTAGTTTCCAATGACTCTACCTGCTACCTGAACTGGGCCTCTGTACCCGATGATCAAGTCCACAACAGCGCGTTCCAACAACGTTGGGTGGCACCTTCTCAACTCCCAACCATGTTCAACAAAGACGCTAAAGTTTAATTTCTTTGATCGAACGCTAAAATACAAGCAAGTTGCATGTTAGGTCCAGGTCAATCAGGGTGATGCACTACAAAATAAATATTGGTTCTCTATTTCGACAATCTTATGCTGTTGTCGGTCTGGATTCAGACAGATGATATTTGTTGGGAAGTCGTTGATTTTCAGTGCCGTAAATTTTCTCTTGAAAAGTGATTCAATTTCTGATCATCATTACTGATTGTGAGCTGATTATTTTCGCGTGACACTTGATTATGAGTACGTGTTTTAAAAAATTAACGGTAGTTAACACATAACTCCAAATCAGCTTAGTCGTACCGGAAATTTTCTAGTTATTGAAAGTAAGACTGGGAATTTTTTAATTTTTTTTTTTGCATCAGATTTTAATTGCGTATGCAGCTAACTAGCTATGACACAATATCAAAGAAAAGTACAGAATAGATGATTCAACGTAAATGAAGAGCACTCATGCCTCAGATTTCATTTGCAAGTACCACTGCGAAGTTATGGCGGCTTTTTCTTCACCCCAAGTCAACCCTCATCCGTGAATACCCACCCAGGGGAACATCTCAAAAACCCTGAGTTATCCAGACATGCCTCTGTCATCCATCAACTTTTCTCCGCGCGAAATGTAATCTGAGATGTCTCCTTCCCAAGTGGAGTAGGTGCCCAGGCTACTCAAACTATACCAGAGAACACCACCAAGAGACGGATCACTACACCTTCCATCGTCGGCTTGTTTTTATAGTGTTAGCTGCACTCTCGCAAGCGAAGTCTTGGCGCGCACAAAGCTCAATCCGTTAAACTCCATGCAAATATTCGAAATTTCACGCCCGTCGAGAACGTATCCCTCTTCTGCATCATCTTGTAAACTTGTCCTGATCCCTCTCACGTCCATCCCAAAGAGCTATCTCTCAGATTTGTGCTCCACGCTTTGCTTCCTCCGTCGGGTGTAAATATCGGCGTGGGCGTGTATTTGGTGACCGACTGAGGCCAGAGAAAGTCGACGAGAGGTATGGTCATTGGAATAAGGATGTACTAGGTCGTACTTATAGACTTGATGAAGCTTAGTTGAGAATCGGACTCTTTGGGAGTGAAAGATTGCCATGGTGGAGTAATTTGAATTTTTGCCTCGTGGGCCAACTTCTTTGATATCGCGACATTTGACTGAACTTGGCTCTGGGAGAATATTTCACTCTCAGGTTCGTAGAGGACACCGCGTACAAGTGTTCAGGCTTGCCCTCCAAGACTGGGAATTACTCTCACTGTAATAAGCGAGAAGCTGACAGCAGCCGAGAACGAATATTTTAGATTATTGAAAAATATAAAAATTGTTGAGGTAATACTTTGATAATTAGCCTCAGATAAAATTATATACTAACTCTGTATATCTGATCGCTCCATCGTCAACTCTCGAAACGTGACAATCATAATCGGCGGTGAAACATAGCGCAAACCGGGGGACTATTCTCAACACCTGTCAGTGGTGTCCCCTATGAACCTTCCAGCTCTCACTTTAGAATCTGCAGAGCCGACATTTAGTAACATCGTTCTCACTTCGGTGAGAATTCCTATTTGCTTTCGCTGCCTGTATCGTCTTTATCTCTCAATACAACCCCTTATCACCATCATCTTGGAGATGAAGCCATCCGATGAGTTTTCCGAGCGTGCCCAGCACCCCATACGGAGATGGCGTATTAGATCAAATCGACCTCGACTGTTACAAAGAAGGGAGACATAGATGAATATGCGCTCCTCATGTGGTCCCCGTGTCTAGGCCTCGCCTGGCTGGGGCTGCAGGTTTTAGAGACTTTTCCCGCGCACGCAGTTTCCACTGCAACCATTTTTTTGGTACAAGGATCCGTGAAAGATGTAGCTAATCTCCATGGGTGGATACTGGACTGAATAGCTACTCATCACGGATAATATCTCAACGATCTTTGAAGCAACAACAGAGGGTAGGAGCACTGTACAAGGTGTGGCCAGGGTCAGAAAGGAGCCAAGTGTGTTGGAAAGTTACATATTCAAGTAGCACAATTAACACCAATACGTGGCGCGGTAAAGATTAACCTTCATCATCAATTTCGAAACACTTAGGATGAGTATACTGTCGATACCTACGTCATGCTAAGGATAGAATTTGTTGTTGTCACTATCCTAGCCCATCTGCAGGGCTTGTCGCGCATGCTAATTGTCGGAAATCCCAACAACGGCCCGCACTATAACGACCTGGTTCCATCCGGTTACGATCGACGATTTTCGCAGCGCAGTTTGAATTTGATTTTATTTAACCCGATCAGGCACCCTATGGGTCCATGCAGGTGACTATCTTCATTATCTTATTTTTTGCATCAGATTTTAATTGCGTATGCAGCTATCTAGCTATGAAACAATACCAAAGAAAAGTCCAGAAAATATGACTCAATTTATAAGAGAAGCACTCATGCCTCGGATTTTTTCAACTTACATCAGACTTAACAAACTCCACAGGAATCATCCTCTATTCTAAAAAAAACCCTTCATCTATCTTTTTTTGTTTTTTCACGCCCCAAGTGATAAAATAATATACCATGTACGACCTATTACAGGCATAAATATTTTCACCTACTCATGCCGCCCCAGTCCTCCGCAGAGGCTGGCTCTTGGCCCCCTCTCCCACCCGTAAATTGGACGCGTCCTGACGTCGAAATGGCCCTCACAGGGCCACTCAACCATCCCCAAACTACACAAATAAATGCAGAGACCATCTGCGTGGCGAGCTGCCAATACTCGCCCCCGAACCAAACCGAGTCATTAGGTGTCACTATGACTAACTTCCTCGCAGATGGAGCGAGGGCTTTTAATTTACGCTTCGCAGAGGCTGAGCGTATCGTCAGTGGGTACATTAACCTACTTGCTGCTACAACCGACATACAGCTCCGACGCGCTGTCGAAAAGAACGGAGAGGCTTTACAGGCCACTATTACAAACATCCTGCGCGGAAACCCCCAGCCCCTATCCAGTGGGCCATCAGAGGCTGCCAGTTGCAGTAAGACTAAACCACTTCCGGCACTAGCTACTAAGTCAGTGGGAAAGAATAACGCGAGCACTCCACGACCAGTGCAAATTCTCGCCAGAGAAAGCAGCAGCCAGGCGAAAGGCAAAGAGCCGGCCTCCTCAAAGCCTACTAGGCAAGTCGAAGACGACGATCCCAATATCACCAACACCACTGAGAGATCCTGGACTCAGGTGGTCAGGAAAAAGCCAAAGCCTGTACAACCAGTGGCTTCAACATCGACAACAGTCAATGGATCTCAGTCAAAAGCAACTGGGCCTACACAAGCGCCTAAGCCAAGTACCCCCGCTTCCAAGCCGGCCCGCCCAGACGAACGTGTGTTCCTGCGGGTCAAGCCCGACCATCTGTGGAGACGCATGTCTATTATGCTCAGCTATGTAGGATGGTAGATCTAGTAGCTGGTGCATAGGTAGTTATTATGGCAGCATGGCGTTATGGCGCATGGAGGAGATCCAGTCTCTACATAACGACATTACATGTAGTAATGTGTGCATTACGAGAGATGGGTTGTTGATGTAGGACAAATGGCATGGCTGCTTAGTTGGTTGCACACTTTGGTGAGCTGCATACTGGTAACGTGATCGGTCTACAAACGAACAAGCTAGGGGATAAGGGACGAGCTTTCCCCAATCTGTAATATAACAATTATCATAGTCACTTCACTTCTGCACATTAATGAAGACATCTCTCCACATACTGTCTTAGCTGTTCCAGCGCAAGTGTACATTCCCATTTCATATACCAAGTAAAACAATGTCTCCTCACTACATAAAAATAAGCCTCGCAAGCAAGCTTCGCTTGGCTAACTATGCAATCAAGCAGGTCACTGCCGTCAACTCAGGGTTCGCGATACAAGCTGAAGGAGATGCAGCAAGAAACGCGCTCCTCTCGGGAGCCGTGCTCTTGGAGAGCACGGAAATGAAACTAGAAGCTGCTTCCAACTGGATCTCGGTGCTAGCTCCAAATGTACCTGACAGGCTCTACACTCTGGAGAGACCAACGCCAGTCACACCGGAGATGGTGATGGAAGAAGCGACTTTAAAGACGGGCATAAGACCGACCTCGGCTCGTGCGTTCGAGACAAGCATGGCAAGGCCATCAACCGACTGGGTGCTGCATTCTGCAACCGGAAAGCCAAAACTGGGTGAAAGACTCTTCGAAGAGAGCGGTCGCCTACACGAACTCCAGCGCAAGCCCAAAATTGCGCAATGTAACTGGTGTTGGGGACACCACCCCACAAAGATCTGCTCACGAGCGGAACGATACTCACGTTGCGGCTTAATCGAGCACAAAGCTTCCGAGTGTAAACAAATAATCCCGAGGTGCATGAACTGCCACGGGCCATACTCTGCGATTGAGCCACACTGTATGGCAAGACCAACCCGGGTAGGCGGTAAAGCTGTGCAGCGAACGAAAGACCAGCTGGCAGTAATTCGCGA